CCTCGCCCCTTTCCTCTGGCTGCCTTCACCCCAGAGGTTTGCCTTCCTCCCACAGCTCTCCACAGCTTCGGGGGGAGGGGGGGGAGGCCTTGGGGAGTGGGAGCAAGCAGAGAGGGGAGGCTGTGGGAGACTGTCCCTGTCCCCTCTCAGGCCTCCAGACAGCTGCCCAGACCGGTTGGGGAGGTAGTCCGGACAGGCTGTGAGCAGTGGTCCCCGTGGGGCAGGCGGTCCACCTTCTGCACTGGAGAGTCAGATTCCTTAAGTTCATGATTCTCAGAGACGGCTGGTTGTGTCTGCTCCGTGGATGGAACAGCAAGAAACTGAGGCCCAGGGGGTGGATAGGGTGCACCCAAGGGGCCGAAGGAGGCAGGCTGAGCAGGGTTCAGCCGAGCCCTCCGCCTCTCACTCAGGGCCTGGCTCCGGGTCTCGGTGCCGTCACTGGGGCTTTGGCCGGCCCAGCCTGGCCTGCAGTTCCTGCATCATGCCGGGGTGTGCAAAGCCGAACCTGGAGATGGAAGACAGGCCGGGAGCTGGTCTCCAGTGTCCAGAGCCTCCTGCCCAGCCCGGCCCAGCCCAGCCCAGCCACTTCACCCAGCGCTTACCCGTGTCCCAGCGGCTTTCTCCTAGCTGGCACTGGGGTCCCTTCAGGCCTAGGGAGGCTTGGCTCTGGGGGTTCCTCTGGGTGGAGAAGTGTCTGCTCAGGGGCTGGCAGCTCTTCCTCTGGTGGGGGGCTGGCAGGCTCCTGCTGCTGCTCAGGGGCGGGGACACGCCGGAAAGAGGGCCTGGAGCGACGCTGTGAGGAGCTGCGGGAGAGGAGCACACGGCTCCGCGGGACAGAGACGTCCAGGCGAGACACAGGGAGGAGGGCCTGCAGGGAGGGAGCACCGAGTGGTACGGGGCTGGCTTCAGGATTCTGGTCTGTTTGGCCCTGGACCCTTCCCGGAGCCCTTACCTCACTCCAGCTGCCCTGGGCATCCCCTCGGGCAGCCTCCTCACGTGGCCCGGGCTCCTGCGTTGCTGGCTGGTCCTCCTGGCCCTGGGCGTCCTCCAGGTCTTCTGCCTCAAGCTCCCTGGCCTCGGCCCTCTGGTGTCCGCTCACCTCCACGTCCTCCATTTCACAGGGCACGCGTGCCTCTGCCTCAGGGCCGTGGTCCCCACGCTGCCCCTCGCTGCCTCGCCCCGGCTGCCCTGCCTCCAGTGCCCCAGCCTCTTTTTCTAACAGCATCTGCCCTTCTGGGAACCCCTCGGCCTCCACTATGACCATGGTCCCCTCTGCCCTCACCGCCTGGGAGCCCGAGGTAAAGCCACCCATCCCACAGCTTCCGTCTGCCACTGCCGATTCCCCAGCCTGCCCCCCTGGCTCACCCTCCCCAGCCTCAAAAGCCTCCACTTGGCCACCTCTGCCAGGAACCTCCTCTTCTGCGGAGCCCTCCAGGCCAAATGCCTGCCCGCCTCTGCTCTCTCCCTCTGCAGCCTCCATCACCTCTGCACCTCTGCCAGCTTCCTCTCTCCCTTCTGAGTCCCAGCCTCTTCCAAATGCCCCATCCCACGCTCCCCCCGTCTCTCTTTCAGGCCCTTCCCCAGTCCCAGCAGCCCTCTCATCTGAAGCTGCCTTATGCTCCACGATCCCGGCAGCCGAGGAACTGGCCCGTGTGTCCTCACTGTCCTGGGAGCTCGGCGCTGCCTCCTCCAGCCTCCCGCCTCCCCTGGGTGTTCTCTCTGCCTCCCAGGGCACTGCGGCCCCCACCTCCTCATCTTCGGTTTCTCTGGCATCTGACTCACCCAGGGACCAGCCTGTCCCTAACTCTGCCCCGTGCCTTCCACCCAGCTCCTGGCTCTCTGCTCGATGCCTTGCTTCCTTCCACTCTCCGCCTGCCTCCAGGACCTGTGGCAGTGCAGGCTCTTGGCCTCCCACAGCCTCCCGCTCCTCCTCTTCCATACCTACTCTTTCCTCCTGGGTACTCCCTCTCTCCACATCCCTTTTCCTCCGGGTTTCCCAGACTTCGGCCTCAGGCCTTATATACCCCGTGTGCCGGGGACTGCCCTCCAGGCTCCTTTCTGCCTCCCCTTCGCTCTGGGCTGGAATGCGCCAGAGCTCTTCCTCCACCTGCTGTCCTTCCCCGGGTTGTTCCACTGGGGTCTGGAGGCCGCCTATCTGCTCAGCGTCCCAAACTTCAGTGACCTTGTGCTCTGGGCCACCACCCTCTACCCCAAATTCTTCTCGACCCATCTGAGCCCCCTCCTCACTCCTCTTCTCCCCGAACTCCTTTTCCGGTGTGGCCTTTGGGGTTGCCGCAAAGTCAGCATCGCCTTCAGCCTTGTTTGCCACTTGGTCCTGGGAGAGCTCAGCCTCTGTGGCCCAGCAACTCTCTTTCTCCTCCTGGGCCCCCTGTGCCTGCACCACTTCCTCCGGACTGGCTTGAGCGGCCCTGATCTCTGCGTCTTGCCTTGCCTTGGCCTCTTTCCCATCCTGATCTGCCTGACCCTCAAAGCCCTCCCCTGCCTCCCACTCTGACCCCGGGCCTTCCGCGGCCTCCTTCCCTGCTGTCTGGACCTCAGCCACTTCTCCCGTTCCTTCAGTTCCCAGGGCCTGAGTCTGTTTCAGGCACAAACTCACCTCAGCCTCTCTATTTCCACCCACCTCCTCCTCCTGGGCTCCCCTGGAGGCCTCTCCTAGGGCCCAGGCTCTCCCAGTACCCTCTAGGCTCCTATCTCCTGGGACTGCCCCATTTTCTGTCTCCCTGACTCCTGGGAAGTCAGCCGCCTCTGTGCCTGAGGTTGTCCCAGCCTCCTCCCCACCTGAGGTTGTCCAGGCCTCCTCCCCACCTGAGGTTGTCCTGACCTCCTCCCCACCTGAGGTTGTCCAGGCCTCCTCCCCACCTGAGGTTGTCCTGACCTCCTCTCTGCCCAAGGTTGCCCCATCCTCAGATGCTGCCCCTGGGGTCCTGAGTCCCCGGTGCCTTTGTGCTTTGGCCATCCCTCTCCACGGCCACCACCTCTCCTTCCCTCCCGGCCTCTTTGGCCCCACCTCCCTGGGTCTCCTCTGCGACTGCCTCCTTGACCGCCTGTTCTGACTCCCTGCCATCCCCGGCCGCCCTTTGGCCATGGGCACCAGCCTTTCCCTCAGCTCCCTGCGCCAGGGCCACTCTGACTCCACCCCTCTGGCCCCCCCTGGCTCTCTTGGCCTGATCTCTTCCTTCCTCCTCCTCCTCTGTTCCCAGGTCCTCGGGGCTCTTCTTTGTTCACTTCCTGCTCATTGCACTCCTGACTCTCCTGGGCTGGGCTGCTCCCGTCTCGGCCAGCCTCAGACCCTGCGTCAGACTTCTTTCTGGCCTCCAAGGGGGCACTTGGCTCCTGGCACCTGGAGGCCTTGACTGCCTCCCGCGCCCCAGTGTCCTGCCTATCTCCTTGAGATCCATGGGAGCTGCCTTCTCCCCAACTCCAGGTCTGTTCTGTAGCTGAGCTTCCCTCCTGGTGTCTTCTAGCCTCTCCAGGCCCTCTCAGTCCTCCATGCCCCTTGCTTTGGCTGCCTCCCACAACCTCCAGGGCCTCCTGGGCTTCCTCCTCTACACTTCTTCCTGGCCTTCCTGTGGCCACCTCCCCTAGTTCCTGAGCTGCGCATGCCTCTCCCCTCTCTACCGTGGGGACCTCATCTCCCAAAAGGTAGGAGACAAAGGTACTTAAGGAATCCTAGAAGAATGGGGAGAGGGGGAGACAAAGGCATTAAGGGAAGGCCCAGCTCTCTCCTGCGGGCCCTGGGCCAGAGGAACTCAGAATAGGAGGAGAGGTTCTGGGTTCTGGGAGGAGGACAACAGGATCTGCAGAAGGAATAGGAAAGGGCCTAGATTGGGGTTTGTGGATAGGTTTGTGGAGGGGGGAGGATTGAAATCCAGAAAAGATTGGTTTAGAGGCTGCCTTATCCTAGGGAAGGAATCTCAAGTCTGAGAGACTCAAAGGGAGGAGGGAAGGTGAGGTCCCGGGGAGCAGGGAGAAAGTCCCTGGCATCTCTTTGCCCCTCTCACCAGTGTCCCCCGCAAGGCCTGGTGCAGCCCTGGGAGATGCAGCCGGAGGAAATCCATCCTGTCTGTGTCTGTGTGTCCAGAAAGCTGACAATGACCGTCCCCACCCACCAAGACAAGCCAGTCTTACCCAGGACCCAAGCACTTCCTCTTCCCCTGTTTCCCCCTGACGTATCCTTACCCCAGGCCCTACCCACCTTCCGCAATGCCCACAGCAGCTTCCAGCCCAGGCTGGGAAATGGGTGTGCACCCCACAAGGAACTCAGGTGCATATTTTGAGCTAAAGGGCAAAGGCGGAAGCCAGAAAGGGAAAAAATGGGAGCAGGAGACCTCAGAATTGGGGATGGGGGAGGGTGCATGGGGCAACTGCAGCTCAAGTGACTCAGGTCTTGTATTCACACCTCAGCCATTTCCGCCTCCCCACAAGCCACAGCCACTTTGAGAGGAAGCTGGGGTTTGTGGTTCCTGTTTCGCCTGGGGACAAGGAGTGGGAGTAGGTAGGGGGCTGGTAAGAGCTATGGCTTCTCATTTCAGGGTCATTAATGCTTCCCCAAGGGGAAGAAGGGGCTGGATTGGCGGCTTCAATGCTGTTCCTAATCTGCCGAGTCATTCTTGTGAAACAAAACTTAGCTAGGTTTTGAATTGTGGTTATTTGTGTCTGCCTCCCACCCTCCTGTGAGTTCCTTGAGGGCAGAGGCCATGTATGACACACTGATGAGTTTCTAGAGCCCTGCATGGGTGTAGAACCCCACTTTTCATTGGCTGAGTGACCTGGGAAGACCAAAGGGAAAGGAGCACATTTCTAACAGCAGCCTGGCGGCCTGCTTGTGAGAAAGAGCGGACACACCGGGGCACAGGGATTGGAAGCCCCGTAGGAGATATCAGCGGGGGAAGGAGGTAATGGAGAAATCACAGAATGCTGCTTTACCACCTAGAGCAGTGGTTCTCAACCTTCCTAATGCCGCGACCCTTTAATACAGTTCCTCGTGTTGTGGTGACAATTTCATTGTTACAAATTGAACATAATTAAGGCATAGTGCTTAATCACAAAAACAATATGTAATTATATGTGTGTTTTCCGATGGTCTTAGGCAATCCCTATGAAAGGGTCGTTCGACCCCCCCCCAAAGGGGTCGCGACCCACAAGTTGAGAACCACTGATCTAGAGGAAGGTGAGAGAATCCCTCCTTATTTGGGACTATGTGAAGTGGCATTGATCTCCACTTCTTCCTCTAATCCGCTTCTGGAGCCCCACTTCCTAAATTCCTACTTAGATAAAGGGGATGAGATCACAGAATCAGAACCTTGGGCCTTAGAATCGGCTGGTCTCGGCCCCCTGGGAGCAGGCAGGAATCCCCAGCTGCCTGCTCAGCCAGCTGCTTTCCTAAGGTCACCTTCACATCTAACTTTGTATGATCATCAGTAACTTTCCTTTTTTGTTGCTTCCTCACCTGTAAAAGCGGGGTTTGGACTCCTGTGATATTCTTTGGTTCTAGAATGATTTGGTAAAGGGGCCTCTTAACGCCTTGGAAACTGCCCATAAATACTGCATGACGTCCTCTTAGGCGGGTGTTACCGTTACATTCCGTTTCTAAAGCCATGTCAGGACAACAGAAAGGAATAAGAACGGCCTGCAGCCGCCCGTCTTTGTTCCCGGCCAGAAACGGTCGTGGCTGAAATGAGTGGCCGGGCGGCCATATTTGTTTCTGGCAGGTGAGGCCCGCGGGCGCTGAAGCCGCGCGCAGCCATGATGAGTGTTGGCACAAGACCCGTCGCGGCCGCGGGCGCCGTTCATCTAACGTCAGGGCTCTTCGTGCTGATCCCGCCCACTGCAGTTTTAAACCAGCGGTTCCAGGGTTCTCCTGGCCTCTCTCGGCCCCACACCCCGCAGCTGGCGAGGCCTACAGCGAAGATAGAGAGGAAACCCGGAAGTGGGGAGGACCTCCGAGCACGTGATGGGGGAACCCGCTGGCGCCGTCACGTGACCCGCCGACCTGCTGCTCCGCGGTGCGGAATGTTCAGCTGCTCTTAAAGGTACAGGCTGCAGGGACCCCCTGCTTTAGAGGGGCGGGGGCGGAGTCCGACGGGTGGGGCGTGGTGGGGCGTGGGAGGCCGCGAGATGGATCCCCAGCTTCGCGTAGTAGATTTCGGGGGGCGCAGCACAGAAGCGCAGCTGGGACCAGCAGTGGGGCGTTGACCCTTCTCACAGGGCACAGACCCTCCCGGTCCCATCGGAGCCGACTCCGAACGTGCGCTGACTTTGGACCCCTGGGGACCCTGAACTTGATGCCATGGGAGGCAGCGCGGGCTCGCGGCGACGCCTTTCAGACTCCGAGGGTGAGTACTGCGGCCCCCGCGCTGGAGCGACTGCCTCTGGCCCGGGACCCCCCTGACAGCTCCGGGGCGGAGCAGGCGCGACCCGGAGGACACCGTGGGGTCACCATACCCCTGAGAGGGTGGGGGGTCATGCCTTCTCTCACCCTCGCAGGAGAGGTGACGGCCCAGGAACCTCGGGAACCTGGGCCCCCGCCGCCGGACCGGCAGGGCGCCCATTGGAAGAACGCGATGGGCTTCTGGTGAGTGGCCCGAAGAGCTCAACACAAGTAAAAGGGGCTGGAAGAGGGGGGCCACCCGAGGAAAGAGGGGAGCAGAGAGTTGGAAAGGGAGCTGAATCCACAGATATTTACTGAACCACTTGGTTTGGCCTGAGGCAATGTGTAAATTTCCCAAATTTAACTCCTTTACTTACCACCTAACATTTTGGCCAGATCCTCATACCACCTGTGGGATTACTTACTTGTTTTTATTCCAACCAATTAAGCCTCTAAATTCATAAATATTCGTTTTGGGGTTTTTCTTTTTATCCTTATCTGGGGATATTTTTCCCATTGATTCCTAGAGTGGAAGGGAGGGAGAAAGGAGAGAGAGAGAGAGAAAAGCATCTGGTGAGAGAGACACAGGGATTGGTTGCCTCCCACACTCACCCACCCTTCCCTCTGCTGACGGACATCTAACCACTGAGCAACCCGGCCAGGGCAATATATGTGGGGTTTTTTTAAGAAAACTTTAAATCACTACTCTATGGAAAGCCAATATTTTCCTAATGCACACTTAAATAAGTGCATCGCTACTTTTTAAAATATATTTTTATTGATTTTTGGAGAGAGAGGAGGGGAGAGGGGGAGAGAGAGAGGGGGGGGGAGGGAGAGAGAAACATCATTGACCAGCTGCCTCCTGCATGCCCCCTACTGGAGATTGAGCCTGCAACCCTGGCATGAGCCCTGACCAGGAATCAAACCTGTGACCCAGGGGTCCTCAAACTACGGCCCGCGGGCCACATGCAAATACAAATATTGTATTTGTTCCCGTTTTGTTTTTTTACTTCAAAGTAAGATATGTGCAGTGTGCACAGGAATTTGTTCATAGTTTTTTTTTAAACTATAGTCCGGCCCTCCCACGGTCTGAGGGACAGTGAACTGGCCCCCTGTTTAAAAAGTTTGAGGACCCCTCCTGTGACCTCTTGTTTCATGGGTCAAAGCTCAACCACTGAGCCACAAGGGCTGGACACTTTTTAAAAGATCATCCATCTACCTCCCAAAATTAAGTGCTGAAAAATCCTCCTGGCACCACCTAAACATCGAGGACTTGGGTGGCAGATTGGGTTGGAAGTAACTTGCCATGTAACTCTAGTCACATAGCCTCTCTGAGTCTCAGTTTCTCAGCAGTGAAATGGGAAGAGCAATAGTCCCCCTTCATGGGCTTGTGAAAAGGACGCATGAACTCTCTGGCGCTGGGCCCAGTTCCATTCCCGTCACTGAGTGCTGCTCTGGGGGATGAACGTATGCAAACAAGATCCTTCATGGATCATAAAGGACTTTGGTATTATCTTGTTTTGACCCTTCCGGAACTGCTCCAGGTGGAAGAGAAATTTGTATTGCCACTTGACACATGAGTAGACCGAGACCACTCAATAGGAAGCAGCAGACTTGGGGCCTGAACATAGTCCTTGGTTTCAAGCCCCAGGAGCTTTCTACTGACCCACAGCGCATCCGAGACAGAGGCTCAGTGGAGGAGAAATGCCCCAGGAACTGGGGGGAGCTCAGAGGAACAGTCATCAAGGATGACTCTCTCCTCTTCCTGGGAGAAGTCTGGGAGATTAGATGTGAACCCAAGTCTGTGGTCCCAAAGCCCATATTTCCAACCCTAACACTGAATGGAGATGAGGTCTGGTGATAGAGAAAAAAGTGGGAGCTTGATTGAAGGAAAGGGGAGGATTGGTGCTAGGATTGCGGTTAGATTGTAGGCCTGAAAGGAGGTTAAGATCTGTTCTAATATGTCCATTGTATCTCAGTAAAACGGGGGTAATCTGTCCTGCTCACTCCAGGCTCTTGGGCCTTTGCAACAACTTTTCTTACGTGGTGATGCTCAGTGCTGCTCATGACATCCTCAGCCACAAGAGGGCATCTGGAAACCAAAGCCATGTAAGTGACCCTCTCCACCTTCACCACTGTGGGAAGAGACGAGGGACTCACCTGGGGCAGAAGCGCCCTTGAAACACTCATAGAAGGGTAACCAAGGGGTGGGACAAGGGGCTAAAGTTCCCAGTCTCCCCGATCTCAGAGCAGGACGGGTCTTTAAGAGTCAGTTGGTGCCAGGTGTACAAACTCAGGTGTTGGCGGGCTAGGACCAGGGTCTATGGCAGATTCTTAACCCTCACACTGTTAACATTTGGGCTGGATAATTCTTTGTCGTGGGCCTGTCCTGTGCATTGTTGGGTCTTTAGCAGCATCCCTGGCCTCTTTGCCAGATGCCAATAGCACCCTCTGCCCTCCAGTTGTGACAATCAGGAATGTCTCCAGACATTGCCAGATGTTCCTGTGGGAGCTAATCACCTCTGGTTAAGAACCTCTTGTCTGTGAGGATCTTGAGGGCACATGCCCAAGGGGAGCAGCTGCCACCTTGCAGGTCCAACAAGGAATTTGGTTCAAGATCAGATTTTCTGGAAACCCACATTTTTTAAAAAATAAATTTTATTTATTTTTTACAGAGAGGAAGGGAGAGGGAGAGAGAGTTAGAAACATTGATGAGAGCCTCCTGCACACCTCCTACTGGCGATGTGCCTGCAACCAAGATACATGCCCTTGACCGGAATCGGACCTGGGACCCTTCAGTCCGCAGGCCAATGCTCTATCCACTGAGCCAAACCAGTTAGGGCGACACCCACATTTTTTAATAAAAGTTCCTGAATGTGTTACCCAATTAAGTCTATTTCCAGGGCCATCTTTGGCCAGTGGCCATTCTATGGAAACCTCCTTCCCATTGTGCACACAGAGAAACTGAGGTCCAAGAGGCCAGTGCTGACTGACACAAGACCATCCTTCAAGTCAGAGCAGAGCTAAGACTAGAGCCAGGCCCTGTTTGTCTACCCCAGTGGTCGGCAAACCGAGGCTCGCGAGTCACATGCGGCTCTTTGGCCCCTTGAGTGTGGCTCTTCCACAAAATACCATGTGCAGGCGTGCACGTACAGTGCGATTGAAACTTCATGGCCCATGCGCAGAAGTCGGTTTTCGGAAAGGAGATAGACGAAACAAGTATACAAGACGAGTGTGGATGGAAGAGTTGGAAGGGGTCGACCTCAGCGAACGTACCTCAATCAGATTGAAGACGTTTTAAGCAAAGGCCAGCTTGGAGTACCCTAATTAAGTTAATAACAATGTACCTACCTATATAGTTTAAGTTTAAAAAATTTGGCTCTCAAAAGAAATTTCAGTCGTTGTACTGTTGATATTTGGCTCTGTTGACTAATGAGTTTGCCGACCACTGGTCTACCCTCTTGCCTCCCTGGGTGAAACACTTCCTTCTTTCCCATCAGGTAGACCCAGACCCAGTCCCCACCCCCCACAATAACTCATCTCGCTTTGACTGCAACTCTGTCTCCACAGCTGTGAGTACCCATCTGGTCCTCCCCTGACCCCCAGCCCCACCCCCTCAGCATCCAGCTGGGACTGTCCTAATTATAATCATTAGGACTGCCATTCCCTGAGCCCTTTCTGTGTGTAGTTAATATTGGCTCATTGCATCCACATAGCAGTACTGTGAGCTAGGCACTGTAACCATCCCCATTTTCCAGATGAGGAAACTGGAGTCAGAGAATGTGAATGCCTGACACACAGCTAAGGAGCAGCAGAGCTGGGACTTGAACCCAGATCTGAATTCAGAGCCTGTCACAGGTCTCCTTGGCCACTTGGTTCAGAGGTTTGTCCCGGGGAAGGTCTGGGGTCTCACTCTGTCCTCCTGTCCCAGGCGGTGCTCCTGGCAGACATCCTCCCCACACTCGTCATCAAATTGCTGGCTCCCCTTGGCCTTCATCTGCTGCCCTACAGGTGGGGGGCAGGGGGTAGGGGGCAGGAGGAGGGGCAGCTGGGATCTGTGAGGAGGCTGGGAGGGCAAAGGAGGTGAGAGCGAAGCTGACCTTGCCCTTCCCTCCCCTCCCCCTCAGCCCCCGGGTTCTCTTCAGTGGGATTTGTGCAGCTGGAAGCTTCATCCTCGTTGCATTTTCCCACTCGGTGGTGACCAGCCTGTGTGGTGAGCATGAGATTTTGTATCAGGTGGGGGGCCCAGAGGAACTGCAACAGAGCATTTGTGGGAGTAGTCACCCCAACTCCACAAAGGGAAGAGATTATTTCTGTAACCCTCAAAAGCTGCTAGGATTGCTCAAGGAGAAGACGGGAGATGAGGTCAATTTGGAGGGGTAGGTGTGGGGGGGACATGAGAGGAAATGGCTGGATTAGATCAGTGGTTCTCCACCTTCTGACCCTTTAAATACAGTTCCTCATGTTGTGACCCAACCATAAAATTATTTTTGTTGCTAATTTATAACTGTAATGTTGTTACTCTTATGAATCGTAATGTAAATATCTGATATGCAGGATGGTCTTAGGCGACCCCTGTGAAAGGGTCGTTCGACCTCCAAAGGGGTCTCGACCCACAGGTTGAGAACCACTGGATTAGATGGCGATGGAGCCGGGCAGAGGAACCAAGACTCCATCGCGGGTGGAGGAGGCATCCAGGATGAGTTTTTGCTCCTGGTTTGATGACAGTGGGTGTTAGTGCCATTCATTCCCTGTGAGAGGGCATTCAGAGGAGGGTTTGGTTCTACTTCAGATCCGGAGCCCCGCCCATCCAGGGATCTGTTTTTAGCCCCTCTGAGCTGATGCAGAGGAGGCCATGGCCAGACACCGCCAGGGATTGGGGTGTGGGGAAAGGCTAAGTATGGCCACTGTCGTGCTGGTCCTCCCCCAGGTGTGGTCTTGGCTAGCATCTCATCAGGCCTGGGGGAGGTCACCTTCCTCTCACTCACCGCCTTCTACCCCAGGTAAGGGGGCAGGGAGCAGGGAGTGGGGAGAGGAGTTCCCACCGCTGGCATTGGTCCTTCTTAGTGCTCCGGTGTCCTCCTCCTCAGGGCTGTGATCTCCTGGTGGTCCTCGGGCACTGGAGGAGCAGGGCTGCTGGGGGCATTGTCCTACCTGGGCCTCACCCAGGTGGGCCTCTCCCCCCAGCACACCCTGCTGTCCATGCTGGGCATCCCCGCCTTGCTGCTGGCCAGGTAAGCTGTGCGGGGCTGGGAGGAAGAGGGGTTTGAGGAGACAAAACTAGATCAGGGTCCGAATCCTCAGATCCCTTCAGCCTTGTTATGAGGGATGCAGGTTCTAGACCAGCCGTGGGCAAACTACGGCCCGCGGGCCGGATCCGGCCTGTTTGAAATGAATAAAACTAAAAAAAAAAGACCATACCCTTTTATGTAATGATGTTTACTTTGAATTTATATTAGTTCACACAAACACTCCATCCATGCTTTTGTTCCGGCCCTCCGGTCCAGTTTAAGAACCCATTGTGGCCCTCGAGTCAAAAAGTTTGCCCACCCCTGTTCTAGACTCTGACAGGCCTGGATTTGAGCCTGGAGCCGCCACATGTTAGCCGTGTGGGATGGGACAAGCTGCCTTACCTCTCTGACCCTCGGTGTTCCCATATCTCAGACGGTGGCCATTCTCCTTGCTTCCCTGCAAGGCGATGTGTGTTAAGCGTCCAGTACAGTGTGGTTCCCAAGGTGACTTGAGGGTGGACTTGATTAATTTGATGTGTATTTGGAAAAAAATTTTAACCAGTCAATCAAACCTGTGATTTCACAGATTATTGCTGAGGACAAGGCCATGTAGAAAAAGGGAATCAATTGAAGGAAAGCATTAAGTAAAACATATTATACACAGGAGGAATGTGGATATGGCAAACAGCACGAAGACAAAACATGAGTGAAGTTTGGGAGGTTCTGGCCTAGCACAGAATGAACACACAATAAGCGGTAGCTAGAGCAGCCATTAGAGTAACATGTCAAGCAAACAGCTGGCTGGCGTAGTGTGAGCCAGGAGTCAGGCGAAGGCCCCGGTTGAAGCAACAAGGAGACAAGTTTCAGCTCCAGGGAAGAAAGCGTTTTTCTGTAGTTGGGGCTCTGGCACAGGATGGGGGTGGGGTGCCTCTCCCCCCTGACAGAGGCTCTTGGCCCTTCTCTCCTTCCACCTACTCCTAGCTATTTCTTTTTGCTCACATCGCCCGGGCCCCAGGACCCTGGAGGGGAAGAAGAGGCAGAGAGGGCAGCTCGGCAACCCCTGATGAGCAGCGAGGCGCCCGAGGCCCCCGAGTGGAAGCCAGGTCAGAGACACAGGGGGTCCCCATTTAGCCTTCCTCCCCACAGTGCACCATGGGAAGGGGAAGGGGATGCGTGAGAGCCGACCACAGTCAGCTAGTCAGGAAATACTCATTGGGTACTTACTGTGTGCCAGGCCCTCCAGTCACGGGGGTGCGTGGTGAGTAAGATGAGGAAATGAGGCCGACTCGTAAACAACTGAATCAGAAACATGTTGGTAAGTGCTGGAAGGACATAAAGCAGTGATGTGCTAGAAAATGACAACTGGGGGAAATGGAGAGTTCTGCTTAGAGAAGGTGGTCAGTGAAGGACTCTTTGAGGAGGTGTCATTGGGCTAAAATTTGATAGACAAGGCCTCAGCCCCGTGGACATCCGGGAGAGCAGGTTCCAGGCAGAGGGAGCAGTAAGTGCTGTGAGGACGAGCCTGGATGTTCAAGAAACAGAAAGAAGGGGCCAGTGTGGCTGGGGTGGAGATGGACAGCCATCAAACTGTACAAGAGCCGGGAAGAGGTCTTGTCTTTTTTTTAACCATGGTGAAATGCACATAACATGAAGTTGACCAGTTTAACCATTTTAAGTGTACAATTCTGCGTTGGTGGGTTGATTCTTTCCCAGCAGCACCCCTTGGCGGACCCCGTATGCCAACCTCACCTGCCCTTCTCTCCTTGCTCCTCTGCAGACTCCAGCCCAAGCCTCTCCCTTCAGGAGAAGTGGACTGTGTTCAAGGTATGGACGGTGGCTGGGGCCCGTCCCCGCCGTGGCCAGTGCCCATCTCCCAGCCAACCACATACGTTATGTCTTCTGGCTCTTCCAGGGCCTGCAGTGTTACATCCTCCCATTGGTCCTGGTCTACTTTGCTGAGTACTTCATCAATCAGGGGCTTGTGAGTGAGGGCACCAGGCGGGGTGTGGGAATAGAGATCAAGGCGGGGACCCACGTGTCCCCATTCATCTCCCTGTCTGGTCTTTGCTGCAGTTTGAGCTCCTCTTCTTCCGGAACACGTCCCTGAGTCACGCTCAGCAGTACCGCTGGTGAGAGCAGTGAGGAGGGTGGCAGGACGGGCAGTCTGCCGGGTGGGCCTGGGGTAGGAGGGGCTGCCATGTGAGTAGGCACCAGAGGGCTTCCTCCTCCTCCCTGCCCCTATCTCAGGTACCAGATGCTGTACCAGGCCGGCGTCTTTGCCTCCCGCTCCTCTCTTCGCTGCTTTCGCATCCAGTTCACATGGGCCCTGGCCCTGCTGCAGGTACGAGGCCCCTGGCCCCCACTCCATTCCCACCTTCACTCCCAGCTTCCCCAAGCACAGGAACAGAAGGCCAGCAGGGCTGCATATCCAGTGTGTCCTCGGAGCTAGGCAAACCTGATGTAAATCCCAGCTCCTGTACTCAGTAGCTGTGTGACATAGGGCAGGTCTCCAAACCAATTTCTGGTTTCCTGATCTAGAAATCAGACATGGCCACCATCTACTTCTCAGGGTAGTTGTAAGAAATAGAGATGAGAAGAGGAATGAAAGAACAGGACTTTATACTGTGTCTCAATCAGTTAGAATCACTTACATCATGATTTGCACAAGCCTCATGCAGAGACACAGGCCTTCAAATAACATTTCTAACAATAAGAAAATGCACAGTTCTTTTACTCTGCATGGTTAATTATAATAGAACTAGAAGCCTGGTGCACAAAATTCATGCACTCAGTGGGTCCCTCAGCCCAGCCTGCGCCCTCTCGCAGTCCAGGAGCCCTTTGGGGGATGTCCGCTGATGGCTTAGGCAGGGAGCGGGCCTAAGCTAGCAGTTGGACATGCTGAGGGCTTCCATGGAGGCAGGAGAGGCTCCCACCACCACCTCTGCGCTCGCCAGCGTGAACATGGCTTCTGGCTGAGCAGCGCACCTCCTGTGGGAGCGCACTGACCACCAGGGGGCAGCTCCTGCATTGAGCGCCTGCCCCCTGGTGGTCAGTGCGCATCATAGCGACCAGTCGTTCTGCCATTCGGTCAATTTGCATATTAGCTTTTTATTATATAGGATCAGTGACATTGTACTCAACAGATTGTGTGTCTCAAGGCTGGTGAGCAAATTCAACTACCCCTGACAAAAGTGATCTACAGCTTTAAGAAAACAAACACCTTTCCCTACAACAGTCTAACAAAAGTACTTTTTTTTTAAATCCTCACCCAAGGACATGCTTAGAGAGAGGAAGGGAGAGAGAAACAAACATCAATGTAAGAGAGAAACACTGATTGGTTGTCTTCTGTATGTGCTCTGACTGGGGTCGAACCTGCCCCTGTAACCTTTTGGTACACAGGACGTCACTCCAACCAACTGAGCCGCTCCAGCTGGGCTAAGAAAAGTGCTTTTACATAATCAGCATGTATTGTTTCTACAGCCCCGTAGGTAACTATTAAAATAAACTTTCAATTACTATAGGAATGTCCTTTGCCCTTTTTAATGTACTTAAATCCGTAACAAGATCTAGAATAAGTATAGATTGCACTTTAATGTTATGGCAACAGCATGCCAATATCCTCTAACTTTCTCCTTTATTTATTGAAGCAGTACCGCCAGCCCAGGGCTCTGTAGAACCAAAGTCCCAAATTGTTGTGTTAATAAATTTTAACTCAGGGTTCTTCATCAGATGCTGCTGATATGTAGTTTGTGACTTTAGTTATAATTTCAACCGAGGCTGCTTTGTAGAAATAGGGGCGTATAATCATTTAATTCCATTACAGAAAGCGTAGCCTAACGCCGCAGATGAAAGTGTTTGCAGTGTTTCACAGGTCACGTTAGTATCACCAGAGTGTGTCCTTTTAAATGCAGATTCCTGAGCCTCGCTCAGACGGAATGAATTAGGACCTCTGAGGGTGAGGCCTGTGGGTGACCCTCATGTGCATCAAGCCGTGAACCGCCCTGGTGACAACCCTGCACTCCGCATGGGACACTGGGATCCCCTGAGGGGCTGGGGCACTGAGGAGGGACCTACACCCTTGGGTGGGGTCAGAGAGGCTTCCTAACTGAGGTGGGAACAGCTAAGCTGGTGTGTCTCCACCTCAGCGCCTGGCCACATCATTCTTTGTGGTGGGCTGTCCGGCCCCTCTGGCCTCCACCCGTTAGATGCCAATAGCAGCCTCCATTCCCAGTTGTGACAACCAAGATCTCCAGACATTGCCAAATGTCCTGTGGGCAGCAAAACCAAGCCCATTGAGAACCACTGGCCTAACTGTAGCCTCAATGGGGGAAACTATTCAGGGAGCCCTTGGGAGGAGGAATGAGGTCACAGGAGTAAGTGACCCTGATCCAAGCTGAGCTTTGGACAGTGGCAAAGGGATCCCACGTGAGGGGAGGTGGAATGGCATTCCAGGGAGTAGGAGTGACATGAGCAAAGGGGCCAGAGAGGGGACCCATGAGGTCTGGGGTGTGGGATAGGATAGAGAGAAGGCGTGACCCAGATCCCAGGGTCTGGTAGGCCAGCCGGATGTTGGGATTCAATCCCAGCCTGCCAGCCCTCTCCCTCATCAGTGTCTCCAAGAACTGGGGCCACTGGAGGGATGGCAGCCTCCCCTTCTCCTGCCACAAGTCCAGGCTCAGCCCTGCCCTCCACCTGCACCCACAGTGCTTCAACCTGGTCTTCCTGCTGGTGGACGTATGGCTGAGCTTCCTGCCGAGCATCTACCTCGTCTTCCTGATCGTTCTGTATGAGGGGCTCCTGGGGGGCGCTGCCTACGTGAACACCTTCCACAACATCGCCCTGGAGGTCAGCACCGGTCCGGCGAGGGCTGTGGGTGGCCTTTCTGGGGAAAGCCAGGGCAGGGGTGTGGAGAACAGAAGTCTCACCCCTGCTCCCTGTCCCCCCTCCCCCAGACCAGTGACGAGCACCGGGAATTTGCCATGGCAACCGCCTGTATGTCCGACACCTTGGGGATCTCCCTGTCAGGGCTCCTGGCCCTGCCCCTGCACGACTTCCTCTGCCGCCTCCCCTGACACTGGGCTTCTTGGGACACAGGACGCACTGGCAGGTGGGCAGGCCAGACCCCGGGCCCACAGCCCAGGGCCCAGCCATGAGCTCTGCCCCTGGACTTCCCGGCACAGCTGGGCTGTAGAGAAGCACCAGGTTCCGTCCGCCCTTGGTCAAGGGGCAGCAGCTTTCTCCCACTCCACGCTGATCTCTGGGACTTTCTTCTGGGCATTATGCCCTTGGAATAAATGCCTATATTTATCGATTGATTCTGGTGCCATTTTCCTTCTTGAAAAAAAGTTTATTATAAAAGTAATGCCAGCCCATTTTGGAGTATATACAAGAGAGTGTAAAGACAACATTTCAGCAGATTTCTGCCTAGTCTTTCAGGCTTATTAATTCGCTCACTCACTATGAGGCCGTCTATACACATTTTTCTCCAGCATGTAAGTTTCAAACACGCAGGGAAGTTGAAAGAATCTGTGCAGTGAGTACTCACATAGGTACTGCCTGGCTTCTGCTATGACCACTTTGCTGTAGCTGCATCAGCTCTCCATCAGTCCGTCTTATTCTTGTAATGCTCTTCAAAGTAGGAGGCTGGGAGCTGGCTTTGGGCCTTCTTCACGCCGGGTCTCTTACTCTTCTGCTTGGTCAGCTGTGAAGACCCTACACCCCAAGACTGAGGTGGCCCAAGCCCAGACAGTGTTGGCGGTTAACATCAACACAGCCTGGGGGTTGTAGGAGATTCTGAGGACCAAGTTGGGGCCTAAAGGCACCATGAAGATGCTTGTTTCTGGTGCTGGAGACATCAAGCTTATTAAAGATGGCAAGTGCTGCTTCCTGAAATGCAAATTCAGTACCCAACAGCCTCCTTGGTAGCCAAAGTGGAGACAGCCCAGATGATGGTACCGCTTCCAGTGTCCTAATCGCTGGAGAACTGCTACCACAGATGGGTCTCTAGTGTCTGAAGCTCTCATCCCAGAATCATAACCAGGATTTGAAGCTGCAAAGGAAGAGGTACTTCCGTTTTTAGAACAAGTCAAAGTAAACAAAGAGATTCTCATTCTCTCTCTCTCTCTCTCTCTCTCTCTCTCTCTCTCTCACACACACACACACACACACACACACACACACACGCACACACACACCCCTTACCTTCCCCCTTCCTTCCCTCAAGGCTCGGACCTTTGCTTTCTTTCTCCTAAGCTCCAAGGGCCCTTTTGCCTCTGTAACTTGATTCCTGCATCCACGCAGCTGGCTCACTTCTTTCACAGCTCATTTCGTCTGACTCTGTGACCAAAAAAAGTAAGTAAGGAAAGAGATGGACAGAGAAACACTCATGTACTAAAGTTCATGCTGAACGTGCTGATGTCTTAGCAGGGACTGTAGTTGACTCCATTTTGACCATTAAAATACAAGAGGAACCTATTGACCTCTTAATGGTTGAGATCATGGAGCAGAAACATAAATTTGAAACTGATACAAGCTTCATCACACGTCTTGTTTTGGATAGTGGGGCATGACATCCTGACATGAAAAAGAGAGTGGAAGATGCATACATCCTCAAATGCAATGTGTCATTAGAATATGAAAAAAAAAGTGAATTCTGGCTTTTTTTTACCAGAGTGCAGAAGAGAGAAACCAGTAAAAACTGAAGGAAAATTCATTGAACATAGAGTTAAAAAATAGTAGAACTGAAAAGGAAACCCTGTGGTAACTCAGATAAAGGATTTGCTGTTATTAATCAAATGGGAATTGACCTATTTTCTTTAGATGCGCTTGTAAAAGAGGGCATAGCAGCTGCACAGAGTGAAAAGGAGAAATATGGAAAGCTGATTCTTGCTTGTGGTGGGGCAGCTCTAAATTCTTTTGGTGGCCTAACTCGATGGGGACAGGCAGGACCTGTCTATGAGTATCCCTTGGGAGAAGAGAAGTTCACCTTTACTGAGAAATGTGACCAAGTAAGCACACAGTCACTCAGATCAAAGATGCGATAAGAGATGTCTTGAGGGCCGTTGAAATGCTATTGATGGCTGTGTCGCTCCAGGTGCTGGTGCAGTGGAAGTGGCAATGGCAAAAGCCCTGATCAAACATGAGCCCAGGGTAAAGGGCAGGGCCCAGCTTGGCGTTCAAGCATTTGCTGCTGCTCATTTGCTCATTATTCCCAAGGTTCTTGCTCAGAATTCTGGTTTTGATCTTCAGGAAACACGAGTTAGAGTTCAAGCAGGACGTCCGGAATCAGGTCCACTTGTGGGTGTGGACTTGAACACAGGTGAGCCAGTGGTAGCAGCAGAGTAGGCGCTGGGATAACGACTGTGTAAAGGACACAGCTTCGTCACGCCTGCCCTGTGATTGCCACACTATTCTCCACGTCGATGAGATCGTGCGAGCTGGAGCGTCTTCTCTAAAAGGTTGAATTGAAGCTTTCCTTGCATCATCTGAATCGTGAAGGAGACAGAGTGAGCCTAAAATAGAGCTGTGGAATTTTTGCCCACGCTTCAAATGATTTTCAAAGCAATTTCCTTTACCCATATGAAGAAAGAGAAGACACTGGCATCTATTCAAATTCTGAAGTCTGAAATTATAATTACAGTACATTTTAAATTGCTTTCAGTGTATACACATAAAGTAGACCATTTTCACCCAAAACAGGATGTTTTGCTTTAGCTTCTGTGATATAAAAATATATGTTAGAGAAGCATGTTGTCTGCCTTATTAAATATTCCTTGGAAAAAAAGTTTAATGGTTTAATGTCTCCTAAAGATGTATTTTCATTTATCCAATAGTTCCCTATTAAGCATTTAAGTTTAAATATTTATGCTACTATAAATAACACTTAAGCAATTTAGGTTTTGAAAGCATCTCTGTTTCCTTAGTATGAATTGCTGTGTGTGAAACTTGGATCTTTCCATTGGACTTTTCATGCTTTTGAAGTAGCTTTGCTAAAGTGCTCCCCACAAGAGTTACGTGGCAGTGAGTAGAAAGATGGATGAACTAGAGGCAAGGGAGTTGAAAGAGCTGCAAGTATATAGTGGCAAAAATAAATATAGAGAAGGCAGAGCATGGAAACTAAGGGACAGATGAGAAGAAATCTTCAGGTAGACCACATGTTCACACCTCTGAACCCTGTTTATACTGAAACATCCATTCCCAAACCTCCAGGGTCATCTTTTTCTCGCTCAAATTATCCTCTCCTACATGTTTCCACCAAGTCGTTTTTATACAGTTGGTATATCTCTGCAGGCCTCAAAGGTGACATTACCTCAAAGGTAATCCTCAAAGGTAACATAAGTTTTGTATTTTGAGGACTTGGCAGTTGCCTACAGTGAATGTGCAATAAATGTGTTTAACTTGAAAAAAAGTAGGAGGCCGACTTGAATACACTTCCCTCTGCATGCTTCAGTGTCCACATTATTAACTAGAATCCAATAATTTTGTACAGTCCTTTCTTAAAAATATGTTTTTATTTATTTCAGAGAGGAAGGGAGAGGGAGAGAGAAACATCAATGATGAGAGAAAATAATTGATCGGCTGCCTCCTGCACACTCCCCACCGGGGATCAAGCCTGCAGCCCAAGCATGTGCCCTGACCAGGAATTGAACCATAACCTCCTGGTTCATAGGTCGATGCTCAACTACTGAGGCTCACTGGTCAGGTTGTACAGTCCTTTTTTAGGTACAATTTATATACAGTAAAATGCACAGATTGTTATATTTTAAGCAACTGATGTGGGCTTAGCAATGTTTCCCATATTTCACTGTTACTATCTCTACCATATTTGCTATATCTATGTATACGAGTACTTATACTTAATATTTTTATAAAGTGACTAACTTTTTAAATATATATTTTTTTATTAATTTGAGAGGCAGAGAGGAAAAGTGGGAGAGAGAGAGATATCAATCGACTGCCTCCTGCACACCCCCTGCAGGGGATTGAGCCTTAAACCCAGGCATGTGCCCTGACCAGGAATCCAACTAGTGACCTCTTGGTGCACAGGACAATGCTTAACCAACTGAGCCACACCGGCCAGGCTAGGTCTCCTTTATTTTCTTTCAATAATGCTTTGTAGTTTTCAGAGTATACATTTTACCCTTATTCGCTAAATTTTTAAAAATATATGTTTTTATTGGTTTTTTTAAAAAAAGTTATTGATATTTAGAGAGAGGAAGGGAGAGGGAGAGAGAAATAGAAACATCAATGATAAGCCTGGCCAATGTGGCTCAGTGGTTGAGTGTCAACCTATGAACCAGGAGGTCACGGTTGGATTCCCAGTCAGGACACATGCCCAGTGTGAGGTGTGCAGGAGGTAGCCGATCAATGATTCTCTCTTATCATTGATGTGTCTATCTCTCTCTCCCTCTCCCTTTCTCTCTGAAATCAATAAAAATATATTTTTAAAAATAAATAAACCTTTGTCACAGACAATAGTATGGTGAAGGCCTGGGGAGGGGGCAGGAGCAAGGTGGAGAGGGTCAATGGGGGGCAAGGGGGCATCTGTAATACTTTCAACAATAAAGATAAATTTTTTAAAATAATAAAAAATAAACCTTTGTGCATTATGCGTTTTCTACATATGAGTGTTTAGGATAGATTCTCAAATCTGAAATTTGTAGGGATGAGCATTTTTTTTAGGTTGTTGATGTTGTTTTAGGTTTTCTACAATGTTTTTGAAAGGTTTTTTGTTTGCTATACCAGTTTATATGCACCAGTTCCCTGTCACACACCCTCTTGGCACTTGGGGACAATCATTTTGAAATCTTTGCTGAGTAAAAACATACTTAATCTTGATTATTTTAAAAATTAACTTTAACAGCATTATTGAGATACTAGAGGCCCAATGCACGAAATTCATGCAAGGGACTCGGCCCTCGCAGCCGCCACAGCTTGCCTCTGCCCTTGCAGCCCCAGCTTCACTCAGAAGATCGTCCAGAAGGTCGATTGGCTGTCTGGTCTAATTAGCATACTATGCTTTTATTATTATAGATACTTCACCTACAATACAATTGGTTTTCAGTATAATTCAAGATATGTATGACCATCACCAGTCAAAATTAGAACACCTTTATCACCTAAAAAAAATCCTATAAC